CCCCTGATTGGATCTGTTTGCTTGTTTGCCTGATCTCCTGGTTCTGAGCCCCATTCAGCCTTCCCCCTTTATTGGCTTTGGTTGCCTAATTCCTGGGTTTCCTGGTTTTGACCCTGCCTTAAACCGACTTGAATTAAACTGACATTTGTTAACATTGTCTGTATCTGTGTTCATTGGTTCAAATAATCTGTACCTGTGAACATCCCAATTGTATGACATTATTGGGTTAAATTCCTTTTTTAATCAGGCCAGGTGCAACTTTTTTATATCATTATTAGATAATGCTGGTTGCTCTCTGCTGATATTTTTTTTGTTTTGTTAAAGTTGTAAGTGATGTGTTGGTCTGTTTGTGAATATCCTGTACACACTGCTCTTGAACACAGATTACCCTCTTCTTCCTGTTTACTGCCAACCAGAGCTAAATTCAAGGCCTAGGTCTTTTGATGGGTAACCTGATGTGTTGAGGAAACAAACACTGCAAATACAAAAAATGCTGCAAGAAGCTCAAATTACTACGGAAACCAGGGGACACTAAAAAGTGACGCACACAGCTGGGACCGGAGCGCTTGGTGACGTTCAGGATTACAAAACTGGACAACTGTCTTTGTTGTTGGAAACTTACCTAAAATGTTTTATCGGCTTATTTTAACAATGTTATCACATGATTCCTTCTGATATTACTGCAGATCTGCTGTAAACCAGCTAGCTAACATTTCAGATATTCTGTGAACACTTGCAGTTATGAGACAGACTAACTCTGCGAGTGTTGTTATGCCCCAGTCGGCCACCGTAGATGAGAGATCCAGAAAAAAGTAATTTATTTATTGTCAGTAGATGTGTAATCATTGCCTTTGTTATTTAGTCCACCCCGTACTTTACAACGTTACATTTTATTTGCTTAACACTAGAACCGCCAACGGGTCAATTTTACCCGCAGCTGTTTTTTTATTGTAGGCCTATGTAACTTTTTTTCAATAAAATATTAAAGTCTCCCAGTCCGTGACTTTTCCTGAAAGTGTTATATAGCACCCTCTGTTGTTAAAATTGTCAATATGAAGTCAGATTGAAAATATCGCCAAAATGTTTTCCTTTTATACCTATACCCGCCAGCGGGTAATATTTACCTCATAGAAAATGCAGCGTAAACATGACGTGTTGCTATAGCAACGCCTTTTGTCTACTGCGGTTCCTTATAGATAGAGAGATAGATTGAGAGAGAGAGAGAGAGAGATAGATAGATAGATAGATAGATAGATAGATAGATTGATTGATTGATTGATTGATTGATTGATTGATTGATTGATTGATTGATAGAGAGAGGAGAGAGAGAGAGAGAGAGAGAGAGAGAGAGAGAGAGAGAGAGAGAGAGAGAGAGAGAGAGAGAGAGAGAGAGAGAGACAGACAGACAGACAGACAGACAGACAGACAGACAGACAGACAGACAGACAGACAGACAGACAGACAGACAGACAGACAGACAGACAGACAGATAGATAGATAGATAGATAGATAGATAGATAGTTATAGATAGATAGAGAGAGAGATAGAGAGATTTGTACCTAAACAAAACACAAGTCTAACACCAAGCGTTTAAATCAGCACTGGTAGCGATATTTTATACTTCATGCTGTCTGCACAAACTATATAATATGAAAAGCTGAAAGTCCACAGATTCTATTGGTATAAGTTTCATCCCTGTGTGATCAGAACTCACTGCTCTACATGATAAATAAAAGAACATTGTACCTTGAAAATCAATAGCGGGTAAATTTGACCCGTTGGCGGTTTTAGGTATACAGCGACCTCTGGTGGTTCTAGTGTTAAGAGCTGCAGGAAAACTAATAATACATATTGTGACTGGATTCATCCTTTTTTTGCAACATTTCATCTTTCCATAAAAAATACTGAACATATGCACATTTGACAGCACAGCTTCACTCCATCAGCTCTCCATCGATACCTGAAATCCATAGCACTTTGACTACATCTGGCTCTGTCATCAATTCCTGTCAGCAGACAAGTTGATGTGATGTTAATTTGAGTTTTTTTCAAATGGACTAGGACGTATTATCAAAGAAGCCACTGGTCATTAGTGCAAAGATGGTCTTCAGTCAAAATAAGCTGCGTACAGGCACAGGTTGGCTAAACACACTGAAACTGAAAGAGAACACAAGTGTTTCCAATTTGAACATTATCAGTAAACTGTCAGCATTTATTTTACTGCTTACTTAAAGTTGTGCTGTAAAAGGGTTGTAACAAAATGGTGACAGATGTAGACCAAAGACTTGCAGACAGCAAAAAGTGAGTTCACCTTTAGAAAAGGTACCTTAGAAAGGTTGGTGTTAGTTGTTGGTAGCTGAGAAATGCCTGTCAGAGTTCATGATATGTAAACTTATATCTGAATCCTTTGGAAGCCCATTAAAACAAAAATAGTGAAAGGGACCAGTGACCACAATTTGAGTCACGGTTTAAGAGTGAAGGAACAGAGAGTCGTGTCTGGGCCAATTATTGACATCATCATCATATTATATATAAGAAGATTTTTGCACTGCTAAACAACAAAAATTATGAAAATCTCTCTCTTAAGTCTCCAAAACCAAAACTTGGGTAGAATTCTAGGGTTAGGGTTAAGCAGAATTTGCAGGTGTTTTGAGTTAATTAGCTGATCAGAGTGTGACACTTGAAATAATTCCCTTTGGTTGAAATGAATCTATATCACATAGGAGTTTCACTTTTTAAATAGAAATACTGAAATGAATCAACTTTTCCACGATATTCTAATTTATTGAGATACCTGTATATCTCGCCTCACTCTGATTTGTCCCCTGCCAGAATGTTTTGTGTGTTTTGCCAAGTGCTCGAGAGTTCAGTTCGTATTATCTGGTCTGCCCAGTTTTGACCCTGCCTGGCTGATTTTGAGCCTTGAGTTTCCTGCCTGCCCCCTGATTGGATCTGTTTGCTTGTTTGCCTGATCTCCTGGTTCTGAGCCCCATTCAGCCTTTCCCCTTTATTGGCTTTGGTTACCTAATTCCTGGGTTTCCTGGTTTTGACCCTGCCTTAAACCAACTTGAATTAAACTGAACTTTTTGAACATTGTCTGTATCTGGGTTCATTGGTTCAAATAATCTTTAAAGATTTTTGCACTGGTAAACAACAACAATTATATATTTTTTTTATCTTATAAGGCCTTTAAGCCTCCAAAACCAAAACGTGGGTAGAATTCTAGGGTTAGGGTTAAGCAGAATTCACATGACAAGCAGTAAAACGGCTCTACATTGCCATTTCGACGCGCAACCAATCTGTTTGTAGCAGCTAATAATGATAACTAGGAATATGCTTTGTTGGATTTAGGTAATTATAAAATCACTATCTGGAAAGTTTTAGTTTTTTTATCCGTTATCTTTCAATAGTCTTGTCAGGAATGAACTTCCATAGAATCCTTATCTTAAGAGATGTGTTTAACTTTAATCTCAATAGACAGTGTAAACATTACCAATGACAGAGGTCAGACTGCAAATGTTTTTATGTATATCATACTCTGTATTTCCACATTCAGGACAATGACAGTAAATATACCTTGTCACCACTGTTTTTGCCCCCCCTTTCCTTACAATGGACCCAACAGCAATACAAAGTCGAGACACACTTGCACAGAGGAAAATATATTCTTGCGCAATATTGACAATTTAAAAACTTTAAGTCAGTGTTAATGATGGTAATGGTCACTGGTGTCTAAACAAGTTAAATGTGTAAGAAGTAGATTATTTCACTCAGGGGTCTGAAATGTCAGAAAATAATAATACAAATAATAAAAACCAATGCAGAAGCTAATTCAGTCCCAAATATGAAGCAAGTTCCATAAAACAAAACCCTTTTGAAGAACGTCTCTTCAATAAATTAATCACGTAAATAAGACACAAATTAATTTAAATAAATAGATAAATAAATAAATATACTTATGTACAATGAAGAGATTCAGAAGAAAGTAAAATGAGCCTTCTGGAAACACAACGCAGACCGACTAAAACATGCGTGGTCCGCCAGTCCGTTCAGAACACTCGGTCAGAACACTCGGTCAGCGGTTAGCGGGGCCAGCAGACACATTTGATGCGCTGCTGCAGATGCATTTGGCACAACCTAACACTGTAACACTGATCCGTCCTCCTGTTGGCGTCGGCACATCTCAGGACACAAGAGGCTCACTGTGCACTCAATCATTTACTGTAATGTAGGTGAACGGGAGAAAGAAACACGACTACTGGCTTTAAAATGATCTGTTTGTCCTTTTTATCTAAAATAACGTATTCAATGTTAAATAAATACTATGGTTTACGGAAGACGATTAGGGCCAAACATTATAATCTTTTCTGAGTTCTGACTTTTCTCTAAGAATTAAAGGTCCCCTATTATACTGTTTTTCATCAATATATTATAGGTCTCAGATATATACAAACATGTCTCTGAAGTGTTTGGCTGAAACACCAAACAGATCATTGCAGCATTACCCATAATCCCCTCTGTTTCAGCCCTGTTTCCAAAGTGCTGATTCTCTGTCTGTTACTTTAGATGAAAATAAGGAGCCCCTCCCCACGCCCCTCTGAGAGATATTTGGTTAGAAAGAACACAATGGTGCTCTAGGAAGAGATTCAGGTGATAAGGTGGGGGGGGGGGTTACCTTGGTTGCTGATTGGCTAATGGATACAAGCCGAAAAATCGTTATGACATCATAAAGTGGCCAAAATCTGATTAGCTCATTTTCAGACAGGTTTTTATAGAAATGGATCAGGACAAAAAGAGAGAGAATCTTTTTTCCTGAAACTTTCAGAATCTCTTTACACAGAGGGGACACATGTTCAGGCCCGCCCCTCCCTACACGCAGATCACGCAGACTGCGTGGGGCCTCACCTCGCGGAGGGGGCCTCACCTCGCGGAGGGAGCCTCATCTGAAGCGCAAATGCGGCGCAATTAAGCGCGCCACAGTTTCGCCGACACAGAGGGCCTCATCACATAACTTTGCGTGGGGCCACAAGTTGGCGAGGGGCAGCCCTGCACATGTTTATGTATAAAAGACATGAAAAAGTGGATTTTGCATAATAGGTGACCTTTAAGTCCCAATTCTAATAATAAAGCCAGGAGTCTTACATTAAATGTACAATTTTGACTCATTTTGGACAGAACTAAAAAACTGTCTTACATGTTGCACTAATATTTATTGAGTTCTGGCTTTCTCTGAATTCTGACTTGATTCAGGATTCTGTGTATAAAGTCTGAATGTGTGTGGCCCTAATCCTCTTCCATATCGGGTTATTAGAGACTTGCCCACTTACCCAGAGTCAGACACACTTTCAGAAGCCTTTTTGTACCGGTTTAGCAGTACAACGTTGAATACAAAGCTCTGTCTAGCTTAGCTCAGTTTATACTGTAGATGTGTAATCTAAGGTCTGAGGAAAATAAGAATTCATTTAAACTTTGGTTCATAATTCAAGCATTGACCTTCTACTTTTCTTCCAGATTAGTCTGACTAACTTTGTTACAGCCAGTCCGATCATCTGACAAGTAACGTCTCTTTCTGTCTCGTTTGTAGCTTTTGGGTTGCACTGTCAAAATGACTTGACCAACCAGGTAGAGCTGCAAAAAAACAAGACCCAAAAAACATCCTTAAGACACACAGTTGAACTTTTCAAGTAACTTCCTTCTTCACTGTGTTTCCCCAACAAGAGGCTCCATATTTAAAATGGTAATTTTGATTTAGGTTACAGGTGGTACATGTTGCATTAGCCTCTATCTACATTTAAGCTCAGGTTTGCAAACACTCTGTGTTCAACATGTATCTGTGGTGCTGTTGGAGAGGCTGGTTTCCTGCCAACTCATTAGTAAGGAGACTAAGCACATCGTAAAGGCTACTCCAACATCTTTCAACACATCATTACATCAAACATATCTCAGCGGGTCAGTCAACAAATAACATGGGGACAGGTTTAAAATGAATAAAAGCATTCTCCTGAACAATGGGCGCTACTATTTTTAACCTATTTTGTGTTTTTGCCTGTTTTTATATTTATTTACAAAGGCACATTATGTTATAACAACCGCATTTTGTAAAAATATGCTGCCATTTTTTATAAACAACCTAAAAAGCAAATAGTTTTAACATTTTTGAAATAAATTATATTAGATTTTTTGCAGGAACATTTACTACCTTTTCCATTGAAGCTGTTGATTACCAAATGAGGCAGAATGTTACAAAGTGCAGGGGGTTATTACTTCATAAAGAGACATGTATTTCATTTTGTCGGGTTATTACTGTAATGTATGGCTGTTATGTGACTCCATTGATTTCAATGGATTGAGTTAAACACAATTTCAAAACATGAACATAGAACACCATTCCAAAGTGTCTCTGACTCTGGGTCAGTAGGAACAGACTCTGGGTCAGTAGGAACAGACTCTGGGTCAGTAGGAACAGACTCTGGGTCAGTAGGAACAGTTGTACTGGCATTCAAGGCCCTCAGCTCCTGTTCTGCAGCAGACACTGTAAGCACGTCTTTAATATTGAATACTGAACACCTCCCTTTGTAGCTGGAGTAACCTGGCCTTAGCTAAGGGGGGGGGGGGCACACAATGCATTAGCAGCCTCATAAACACATACGCTCAAACTCAAACAATAAATATCATCAGTATAGAGGTTAATTACAAAATCAGATCTCCTCTAATTTGGATGAAGTGGTCTCACCAAGAGAAAGGGCACTTCCAGACCCACTCTAAAGGAAGGGGTTTATTAGTTTGAATCCAGAAATATCAAGCTCTTTGTTTTCAATATGATTAATTGAGGATAGGACAGCCTGGTACCGTCAGCAGACTCTGAACTCCCTTTCTGTTTAAAACGTTTACAGGTTACAGCCCATCCTCCAGATCTGTAAATCAAATCATATGATTACAAAAAATGCAGGGAGAAACGATGAGCCACTCAACGCCAACACAAAGAAATGTAAACTGTTGTTTTAAAATTGTCTCCTTTTTTTCTGATAAGACACAGAAATGGAAAAAGGTGGTGGTATCCCAAAAAGAGGGGATCCTGTGAGTCCATGAAGCACACTTCACACACAGGAAGGGGGGAAAGAGAGAGTTCCATCCCTGTCGTTCACTTCCTGTTCTTTAGTTCTCTGTTTCCTGTTTCTCCAGCAGTATGGATCTCTCTCTAAACAAGAGACACCTGGACCTTTCAGACCCTCCTCAGAAAAGAAAATAACAGCAGATATATTACACAGTGATGAAAATAGAAACGTCATGGTCTGAGTTGTACTTACCATATACAGTATGTGTGTGAGTGTGTTTACAGTGTATGAGTTCCACCAGCTCAAACACCAAAGTCTGTATTTCCCTTTTCCTCTCCGCTGCTTCTAGATATGTCCATTCAGCTTAAAAATCATCAAAGTCTTTAGAGAAGCTCTCTCCCGTAAACGAAAACCTTTAGTTGATTCTGAAAAAAGAAACCTGCTGTCAGACAAGACGTCTCCGCTCCAGCATCTTCTCAAATGAAGCTCCGCCGCCCTCCGGCTCCGACACGTTCCATTGCTCCTGCCTCTCTGCCCGCCTGGGGGCCAGTCTACTCAATGGGGGGTGGAGGAGGAAGACGGGCGAGGAAGGGGGGGCAGGAAATGAGGAGCGGTACGGTCTCCTGCACTGAAAGAGTGATGAAGAGTAAGGAGGAGGAAGGTAGGAGGATGGCGGCGGTCCTACTCGATGACCATGCAGTGCGGCAGGTGCTGGGAGTAATACTTGAAGAGCTCGGCCGTGGCCCCGGGGCAGTTGGTGAGCTCCAGCTCCTCCAGCTCCTGCAGCTGGATCAGGCCCGACAGCCCGGTGGTGGTCAGCAGGGGGCAGCCTGGGGGGGGGGGGGGGGGGGGGGGGGCACAGGAGACATTAACTGCTGTTTCACAACTTTCATGTATTTTGTATGTAAACATTTTAAACATATACAAGGCAGGGTGATAACTTAACCTTCTTTCTTAATAGTTCCCACTTTAGTTTGTATGGTGTGTCAGGATTGTTTGGAAATGAATGTAAAATCATTTCTAGATCTTGACAATTTGAGATCAAATGTGGCTGAATGTGGTCCCTGCACTACAATGAGTTTGACCCCCCTGCTCTAAATAAATGTCTGTACATTGAGAAAAATTCCCATCACAACATGACATTGTGTGTGTGTGTGTGTGTGTGTGTGTGTGTGTGTGTGTGTGTGTGTGTGTGTGTGTGTGTGTGTGTGTGTGTGTGTGTGTGTGTGTGTGTGTGTGTGTGTGTGTGTGTGTGTGTGTGTTGTGTGTGTGTGTGTGTGTGTGTGTGTGTGTGTGTGTGTGTGTGTGTGTGTGTGTTGCTAGTAAACTCATACACAAGTAAGATTAAATGGCAAAAACAACTTCTTCTACTTTATATTCCAGAGTGACGTGGCTAATGGTTTGCTGCTATTGTTCTGTAATGCCGACCCCTGAAGAGGTTCACTGTTGGTGTTCTACCGGCACACAGCCTAAATGTCCTAATGCATCTTCCCCTTTAAGTACTCTGGCCTGATACATATTTGCCAATAAATGTATATTTATTTCAGTGAAAATCAACAATATTGGGCAACATAGCGCCGCCCTTAAAAATAACTTTTATCTTTTGTTCTATTCAGTAAATGTTTAAGTTAAACATTTTGTACTTTTACTTGAGTACGATTTCTGTTGTATTTCTATATATTAGTATTGTAGTATTTCTTCTTTTACTTGAGTCAAAAATCTGAACACTTCTTCCACCACTGCCCATTGGTACGTTTTTCCCTTCAACTGAAGCTACATAATGCTAATGCGACCTGATATTTAGTCCTGAGTGTTGTGCTATAAGAAAGGCCCGGTGTCATTTACCAAATGCTATCACAATCTGATCATAAGAGTTGAAACAAATCTTTAGAAAGGCTTTCGTTGGGTGTTTTTCTAGGTGCTGTATTTATTTATTAGCTATTAGACCGGCTAACTCACGTCACCACTGCTAAGCTAAAGGTGGCTAATGTTAGCATGATGACGTTTAGTAGTCTCATGTAGCCTCATGTAGCCTCTTGTTAGCAACCTCTGTTTTTAAGACACTTCAGAAATTCACCAGTGGGGTATTTACTGATGAATGAACACAACATCAAAATCTCTTCAGCTTGTGTTACAACACAGTCTCACGGCATTTCGTGTAATAGTCACGAAATGTATCTATTGATTCGTGTTCACCAACACGATTTCGCAATTGTTTTCGTGTCACAGAACGATTTTAAAAGCAATGTAAATAATAACAAATTAGAAGGAAAAACAGATTTTGAAAAATACAGATTTAAGTATTCTGACACAGAACGATTTTAGAAGCAATGTATTTCTATTGGTAGTGTGTTTTGTGCCTGCACCAAATAATAACAAATTAGAAGGAAAGAAAATGAAAAAAAATACAGATTTCAGTATTCTGAGGCTCTGAGCCATTTATTTTCCTCGCAGACGGCAAAAAAACTCCGACATTATACAATTTACAATAAAAGGGATAGGGTTAGGCTTAGGGTAAGATATTGAGTAAGAACATGTTTTTATGAACCACACAGCTTCTGGCCTTCCAAGACCCGACCGGACAAAAAGACGTGTTGCAGGCACGAAACATACTACCAATAGAAATACATTGCATTTAAAATCGTTCTGTGTGACACGAAAAAAATGTGAAAATCGTGTTGGTGAACACGAATCAATAGATTACATTAATTTCGTGACTAATAACACGAAATGCCGTGAGACTGGGTTGTGTGTTAACCACAGACCTTATTTCAGGATAACAACCGAAAACATATTCCAAAGAAAGGTTGACTTTAAGACGCTAAAATGCTAACTCATATCCAGGTTTGAGGACTCACTCCTGCAGCTCTCTATAGGGTGCAGCCTGGAAACACAAATCATACCTGCAAGAGACAGTAGGCGAAGACTCCTCATCCCAAACAAATGCTGCAGACCGAAATCTTGCACCTACACACACACACACACACACACACACACACACACACACACACACACACACACACACACACACACACACACACACACACACACACACACACCACACACACACACACACACACACACACACACACACACACACACACACACATATTCCAGTTAAAGAGCACCATATGAGAACCCCAACTGTTTGTTTGACAACTTAAGAAGCAAAAGCAAATGTATAACTTTGATATTAGTTAATCATTAATACTTTGAAGATTTATTGCACCAAATGTGTGCATGTTGTGAATTTAGCAGAATCTTGTGGAGTCATAGTGATCATTATGATATCATGTGTGTTACCTGACAGCACCAGCGCAGATAGAGGCTCCTTAATGACGACATGGTGGACAGGTAGCCCAGCCCGGTGTCTGTGATCCGCACACACCTGAAAGTACACACAATACACACGTCATTATTGATTGATGAAATGAGAGACATAACACACACACACACACTATTTTAACAGACTGCATGTGCTCCAATTAGCATTTGCAATTTTTGCTAACTTATACAGCATGTAAATATCAACGTACTCCACTCAGGGCCATGTTCATTATCTACTGTACACCTGTACTCACTAAGGAGAAACATGTTATTTTCTTACACTGGTGTATTTTTAAATGTTTTGCAACTTCCATAACTAGTCTTCTCTCAGATGAGTCAGAGTGAAACACTTTTGCCTGGTGTGTTCTTGAACAGGATTTGCTTTGGTCTTGTTCTAAAGTTGGTCCTGACAACAGCCCTGCACCAAACTAAACTCAACTTTTAAGGCTCCCCCTGCTTAATGCAGCTCCAAATATACAGATTCACTGGCTCTAAAGCCGTCAAATATCCAAACTTGATGCAAGTGCAGAATGCTCTGAATATATTATGGCTTACTTTAATCAAATACTATTTTCACCAGAAACCTTCTTACTGTAAGTCATTGTCTTGGCAGTCATTGCCTTTTATTAGAGAGTTAAAAGGGGGACCCCTGTTACCCCTGTTAGTAATCATTTAAAAAACGAATTTTCATCTATTCGAGACTTTTACAGTTTGTGGCTTCTCACACCATTCTACAATAATAGCATTTAGAGTTACAGTTTTAGAATGTAAAGTTACAAGTGCAGAGTTTAAGCTTCGTCTTTCCGGCCAGAGGTTTGTTGTCCCAAAGTGTAGAACAAAGCGGTATAAAAACAGCTGTATTCTGGCAGCTATCGCACAAATGAACAAGTTGTAGCAGAGTCACACAGATGCCTATTTATTGATTTACTTCCTTGGAATGCTGATGTTTGTACTAATGGTTTTTAAATGTGATGGAGCAGGGTGTTATTTTTTAGAGATTTGTCTGTTGTTTTGTTGTTTTAGAATGTGTGTCACAATGGATCCCTTTTCTTTTATCTGTAAACCAAATCTACCTATGGGTGCAAATAACTAACCCGAACCTGAGCCTGTGAAAGGTCCCTGTCAGTCTGCTCACAGAGAGCCCCAGCAGCACACTGACCTGTCCAGCACCAGCTCCTCCAGCTTGTGCAGGTCACAGGCGATGTACTCCAGGGCCATGTCGGTGATGCGGGGGCACCAGGACAGGTCCAGGCTGCGGAGCTTCCTCAGGTTCTCGGCCACCAGCTCCACGCCGTCGTCTGTGATCTTGGAGCAGCCGGACAGGCTGAGGGCCGTCAGGTTGGGCAGGCTGTGCACCATGTTCACCACCCCGTGGTTGGTGATCTCCCAGCAGGAGTGGAGCCGCAGGGTGTGGGTGGTGTAGCCCTGCAGGCGGAGGTTAGTTTAGGTTAGTTCAAATAAAGCTCATTGAAGGCAATATGGAGCAGCTTCATTATGACCCATCACAGGTCTCTAAGTGTAAATACAGTGGAGTAAAGTGACTACATATACTCAAGTATATATACTTCAGGTTAAATAATTGTACTTTTCACATTATTGTACTTTATACCTTTACTACACTTCATTTTGTAGACAATGCTGTTCTTTTTACTCACTTCATTTTTTATATGTAGGCTACTAGAGTATTGCTATATAATATATGTATATATAAATTGTATAAAGTAATTCAAATAAACCCAGATTCACCAGGTGCAAGATAAATCAATAATTATAATACAATAATTTAAAATGAATGGTGATCTAATGCGCCATTCTGCAGAAAAAGTACTTTTTTTTATACTTAAAGTATAATTTGATGCTAATACTTTTATTAGTATCAAATTATACTTTTAATACCTTTACTTTTACTTAAGTAACATTTTGAATAGTGGACTTTTACTTGTCACTGAGTATTTTTACACTGTAGTATTGCTTCTTGTGCGTACATCTGAGTACTTGTTCCACCTCTGTGTAGTTCCACACTGGACTGCTTTTGGTGGAGGCCGCCATGGCAATGCTAACTCTCAGGTCAGTCAGCACTGCAGCACTCTTTGTCTACAAGTTAGTGTGACTGCAACATCACCAGTTCCTCTCCCAGTGGGTTAGCTAGGATCATTATTCAGTGGTGGAAAAAGTATTCAGATTCTTTACTTGACTAAAAGTACTAATACCACACCTGAAAAAAAACGAAATTTAAGTAAAAGTACTGCATGGAGAATAGTACTTAAGTAAAAGTATTTAAGTAAAGTACTGGGAGTAAAGGTTCTCATTGCAGAAACATTTAAAAATAATAATATTTGAAAACAAAAGCAGCAAATCTATACATTGAACTGTGAAATATTTTTGAACAAAAAACGTCTTAGCAAAATTGCTGCCAATTAATTTTCTGTTCCCCCACTCATGGTTTTAGTTGCTTAAATATAATGTTGAATGGTTTAATCTTTACCAATAGTTTTTCCCTAAGTAATGCGTGTCAAAATCGGAATTTCTAAAATAACTAGTAACTAAATCTGTAAATGAAATGTAGTGGAATAACAGTGAGGCTTTTGCTTCCAAATGAGGTATCGAAGTATAAAGTAGTATAAAATGAAAATACTCGATTGAAGTTAAAGTACTTAAGTACAGTACTTGAGTAAATGTATTTAGTTACTTTCCATCACTGTAATTGTGATAGCTAATGGGTGGATGTTTGGATAGGTATAGTTATTCATCTTTAAAACAGATCACTTGATCCACACAGGTCTCTGTGAGTGGATGTGATCAGTAGCTCTCTCTACCTGCTTGGCGGTGAAGTAGGCCATGGCGGTGTCGGTCACATGGTAGGCCTGCAGGCTGAGTTCGGACAGGTTGGGCAGCAGCTGAGAGATGGCAGCGATGGCGTCGTCCGCCACGTTGATGCAGTCGCTGACGCTGAGCGAGGTGAGGCGGGCGTTCAGGCTGGACCACAGCCCGGCCTCCGTGAAGTCATTACAGCCCGACAGCTCCAGGTGCATCAGGCCCTGCATCTGCTCCAACATCACCTGGACACAAGATCAAATACTCAGTGTCCAGCTGCTGGCGGGAGAGAGACGGTACCTGACCAATCAGAGAAGCTGCAGAGGTCTGGGTTTTAGTCAGGGGGGAAATAGATGTCTTCCAATGGTAGGGTCAGGGGTCACCTCTGTTATCTAGCTTCTGCCACTCTGTCCAATTATCCAGAGTCAGCACATCTTTGTAAAGAAAGATTCTGTTAAGCTTTAACTTTGAAATGTAAAGAGGAAATGTTAAATGTATGGTCGTTTAACATCAATTGCAAACAATGTACTAAATAAATGAATGAGACAGTGATGGATCTGAGAACAGAGCAGCAGAGTTGTGAGTGTGACAGGACTCAGTCATTATACTGATACAGAGTGTGACGAAGGTAACTTCTGACGGCTTCGGGCCTTGTAATATTGCACACCGGGCGGAGTGGAGACACATGGAGGAGAGCAAAATGGCCAAGATCAATAAGTGTCGCAGGAATGAGGTACTGTTCTCTTTCGGGAGAGGAAGGAGGAAATGTGACGAAGGTAACTTCGTCACTGTGGACTGACGGCTTCGGGCCTTGTAATATTGCACATGTGGTTTAGTTTGAAAGTGTTCCCCCTCCCGTTTTGTCTGTGGCTGGTGATTGTGTTCACCTGGTGCCCTGTGTTGTCTCCTCCCCCCCCACCTGTGTCTTATTGGCCTGATTAGTGTGTGTGTATTTAGGCTCTGTTTTCCATGTCAGTGGACAGGTAGTGTGTGTGAGATCCTTGTGGCTGGTGACTGTGTTCATGGGTAACAGTCATATTGAGGCTGTGAATCATGTGCCCATGATTTAATAAATGCCCACACTGGGTTATATTTGAACTCTTTGCCTCTGCCTCCTTGCTTGGTCGGGCCGCTCAATGGTCAGCTTCACACAGAGCCAGGGAAGTACATTGTTGCTGTTCTAGTACAGTGTGTTTTGGTAACAGAAAATGTTGCATCTGAACACACAATGATGTATTCCTCTAATGCAGCGGTACTCAAATACAAATCTTAAAGGTCCAAAGACATTTTTTAATAAGACAAAGGTCCGTTTATTACGGTCATTCAAACTTTTAAACAATTGCAACAAGATTCTTAACACGAGGTTGCAAAAACAAAAATAATCTGCAGCAGTTTTCATTGTTATTGTGTCTGTGCTTGATCCCTCAGAGTCGCAGTGTAAGAGCTGCACAGTTATGAATAAAGGCAGCTGCACCCTCTTTCATTCAGCATTCCCATTATTGCTTTATAAATGTCTTGCCCCCTTGTGTGTCCACTGAGGTTCGTCAGGCCCAACACATCTTCAACAACTCCCCCTTTGCCTCATCATAAAAACTCACAAACACCAGCAACTGAGCATTGTCAGTGGTGTCAGTGGACTCATCCACAGCTAAGGAAATGCACTGTGCATTTTTTATTCCATCACAAAGCTGATTCATCAAATCACCAGCCAGTATTTATGTTCTTCTGGTTGCTGTGGAATCTGAGAGGGGGATTTGCTTGATTTGACCTGTTATTTCCTCTTTTTGTTTGCCTTCAAACATGGTCTCCATCACTTCAGTCATGCATTCTTTTATACTTCAGTTATTATCCAGTGGAATGTCCTTACCTACTGGCCTAGTTCAATCAAAGTGGTTACTTTTTTTTGGCTGGGCAGTGTAGTTTTACACACCGTCTTATTTGACTTTCTCAGGACTGTTTTTTGGGGGCAGACCCCCACAAAGAAATATATATATTTACACACGTAAGGTCATCATCTTAACAGTGTTGTATGCTCATCCGTGAGCAGAGCATCAAGTTGACATGTCTATTACAGCTGAATGCGGCGATTACCATCTTGTTCAGCAAAACGCCTCACAAACTTATTAAGATCAACAGCTTTAGTGCGTTTTGATTCAATGCTGAGTACAGCCACACTGACAGTCTCGTCTCTGTCATTGTAGACCGCAAATACCTCATTCCTTCAGTACTTGGGTCCGAATGCTTCTCGTTTTGCGCCGTCCCGTTCAAATGAAATCGCCGCCAATCATATTTCCACGCTCGCGCCAGGGCCGGGGGAGGGGTTACAAGACGTGCGTCTTGTGCTGCATTCACTTGCACTCGGACATTAGAGACTTTTTCTCATAAATGTCAGATGAGCCACAACTTTTCTTTCAAAACAAAGCTGCCAACTGGGGTGGCAGCTGGGGTGGCAAGGCCTATTTTTAGGGTGGCAGTTGCCACCCCATGCCACCCCGGTAGGTGAAACTAGGCTACTAGCTACAGTACAGATGCAACTAGATGAGCTGTTTTTTTTTAAACTCTCGCTCTGACTCAGACAGGTTGAAAGAGACGAGACATGCATTTTCCCACCCGCATTCCGCGAAGACCTGCCCTACTGTGCCTCTGATTCGCAGACTGTTGGTGGGGGGAAAAAACGCTGACGGGATGCTGAATGTGATTGGACCAAAGCATTGACAGACACACACAGACAGTGGAACAGTCGTACATGCAGAGCGCTGTTTGCAGTGGACATAGCGGAGAATTTTGACTCGTTGCGTTGTGGCGATGTCTCGCAGATAACACAGATAATACAGATAATACAGATGAAGAGTATAATTTGCTCAGAGTCCAGAGACAGTTGTGGTTCGGTCTGGATCCGGACCAGAGTCCGGACTTTGAGGATGCCTGCTCTAATGTCATCATCTTTTAGATTTTTCTGTCATTTATTATCAAATGACCCTCGGTCAGATAGCATAAAACAGTCAGTTACATCATTGGCTCTGGCCTGTGTCTGGCCTGACTCAGAAACTGCTGGAATAACATTTGAATTATTTGCAATAAACTGTTTTTGTAAAAAGAAGCTGGATTAAATAACATTTTTATTTAAACACTTTGAGTATACTCTCTGAGCACGGACACCTATTCTACAATACTATCAAACTAAAGCCTACATTTATTTTAGGATACTATTTTTTTTTTGCTTGAATTCTTCACAAATGGAATTCTCCAGTTTAAGATGCAACAAAACGGTAGTGCACAAGCTGAACCCTGCAAAAGGGAAGTCCATATATACTGTAGATCATGCAGCCAACAAAATCAGCTTTCACCATGGCAACCATCCACTCATCCCAGAATAGCAGCCTAGCCTAGCATGAAGGGCCATCTGAGAAACACTATTAAGCCTCTGTGTTTCCAGCAATGGAATATGAAAGCATTAATTCAGAGACTATTAGAACAAAGCTGAACCAAAACTCTGACTGACTGACTGAATGTGTTCCTCTGACCCCCCCACTAGTGAAGACCTGACCTGGAGATCAGTTCATATTGTGTTGAAATAACCTATTGAATTGTATCTTATTGGCTCATAAGGAACATTTTTCAACAGCTGTGAATCCATTATTAAAACAATCTCTCACGGTTTGTGTTCACACTAACACTTTTTTAAATCAAATGGTGATTTCTTCTTCTCTTGCAATACATTTATATCTTGGCTCGGTGACACTCAAAACAATATTTTAGGCCTATACTGAAAAAACTGAAAGGTTGAATTTAATTAAATGTATTATGTAAGCAGATTTCCCATAACTATATTAGGTTAGTTGAAAGCAATAATATTAAGTTTAAATACAAATGATCAGGTTCAACTTATTATTATTGCTTCCAACTAACCTAATACAGTTATGTGAAATCTGTTGACATCATACACTTCATTGAAATCAACGTTTCAGTTTTGTTTGTAAGAAGAAACAGAGGCTTGTTTAGACACAAATGAAGTAATAAAGTATGGAGTATGAATGATGAATTCTCTGTGTGAACAAGTGAAGCTAGGGCAGCAGAGAGACATGATGGAAGAACTGCCAGAGCACTAATCTGTTACCAACTCCAGTATGGATTCACTAAACAGATGTGTTCTTTCAGAGCAATAATAAGCTGTGGCACCTGTCATGGCTGTCATTTCTCTCATGGTACTGTTTGTACAGTGTAAGAGTATTTTCTTTAAGGTTTAAGGTTATTGTTGTTAATTCCAACATATGGCCTATTATCTATTTATGGTGTAGATACTCTCACTGATATGTTCTGCTCAATGTCTATTTAAACATTTGTTTAACACATTTTCAAACATCAGACCCCATAGAGTAAATAGAAATTATACAACATTTTCAAGTTTGTAGTTGCAGTAGAAAGCAGGACATATATTTCTCTCCTCCAATAAGAAGAATATTTTGGTTCTGTTCAAGTGTTCCTGACCAGGGCTGCTAATGTTGCCATTTATATATATAGTCTATGCTGATGCCTCACAGAACAACTGAAATGTTGAATTTAATTAAATGTATAATATCAACAGATTTCACATAACTGTATTAGGTTAGTTCAAAGTAATACTATTAAGTTGAACTTAATATTTTTTATTTAAACTTCATAGTATTGCTTTCAACTAACCTAACAGTTACGTGAAATCTCTTGACATACATACATATATACTCTTTATATACATATATACATAATACATTTAATTCAAGTTTCAGTTTCTCCAGTACATGTTCCTGAGACTGCAAGAGGGAATAATATCCCAGGCACTTTAAACTACCCACAATGCAATTAGAATTATGTCTAAGATCAGGATAATTCTCATGCATTAAGCTCTTCCCGTCCGGACTCACCTCCAGCCCTGCGTCGGTGATGGTGGACCTCTTCAGGCTGACGGAGCGGACCCCCTTCTTGGACAGCGGGTAGTTGTCGATGAACTCACAAATGTCCAGGTCTGAGACGCCCACCAGGCAGAAAGACTGGAAGCCCCGCAGAGCGAAGGCCTGCAGGCTGACGAACTCCTTCTCCCCGCTGGGTAGCAGGGTGTACAGCTCCTTGGCGTGCAGGATGGGGGTCACCCCCTCCCAGAACTTGGGCTGGTACAGCACCTTGCGCCATGTCTTGCAGACCTGCGCCAGCACACACTTCTCGGCCGTGGTGAAGTACCAGAGCAGCCGGTTCAGCAGCTTCTCGTCCAGCACCAGCTGGCGCTCCAGCAGCAGGGGCTTGGGGAGGGTGAGGGGGGGCAGCTGACGGAGGGACGGCTTCAGGCCCACCAGAGGCTTCCCGGGCTCCATGTCCAGCAGAGAGGAGGCTGGGTGGGGCAGGCCGGGGCCGTCCAGGTGGTGGTGGTGGTGGTAGGGCAGGGAGGAGGGCGGGGGGGGCAGGATGGAGGGTACCGAGGAGGACTGGCACAGGCGGTTCTTGGCGGCGGGGGTCCCCTTGGTGATGCTGGCGCTTCCCAGGCCGTTGGGCTGGCTGGGGGGGAGCTTCACCATGCCGTTACGAGTCACACAGGGAGACTTCAGCTCGCTGGGGGAGGACATGTTCAACATCGGGAACCTGGGGGGGGGGGAGAGGAGAGGGCTGTTACACACTGAGAACATCTGGACCAGGACTTATTAAGAGGAGGGGGGGGGGGTGCTTTGGCACTATAACAACACTAATAATATACAACTTAACATGTAGCTTCCTATCAATGACATCGCAGAGAGTACAACGGCTCTGTGATTCATCCAATCAGATGTGCCCTTCTATAATGTAACCAATAATGAGGAGCCAGCATTAAGCATGTTCTTATATGGTGTGAAAAATACACTAGGTTGTAACTGGAAGGAGAGGGAGTGAGAGCTACCAGAAAGGCACTGTTTACATTCTTGAGTGAAACTGGGGTAGGAAAAAGAATTTAACATTAGGTCAAGAAAGAACATCGATTTTTATTTTTGTTTTATTTATTTCATGTTTTGTTTTTTTTGTTGATTTATTTATTTATTTTTGATTAGATCATAGGTTAAAGAGTTGGTATGATATGATGATTCATACTCATGTACAGTAGGTGGCGGTATGCACCTTTTAAGTTGTTTGCAATCCGCCAAAAAACGAAGAGAAGAAGAAGAAGAAGGTTGTAACTGTGGTGCACAACTGATCTAAAAACAGCTGGCTTACATTATTTAGCATATCTGTTATTTAGTTGGAATGCTGATACAGCATTCCAACTATATGTTATGCTACGGACAAAAAGTGTATTATTCCGCCGACTTATTTTGGCCGTCTTCTCCTCCCACATTCAACATCGCAGAAACTCTGTTCAAACATCAAAGCGTTAAGCTCGGTCGGGAATCGCAGGCTATTACTTTTATCATTCATAACTTTCATAATTCCAGAGATACATCCCATAATTCATCACATTTTTAACATTTTAACTTTAACATTGCGCAGCTCGTTAAGGCAGAGTGCGTGATGTCACAGCTAGAGTGGAGCAAATCTTGAAATTTGCCTTCATATATTTTTTTAAAACTGCCATAATTCCCAAACCCTACATTCCTGAGACATCATTTTTCATGACAAACGTAGGAAAACATCTCGTAGCTTGAAAAATGACAAATAATTAAGCAAAAATAATTAAACAAAATGCCTCTTGAGGGCATGAAGTGACAAAAACGTTCAACATGTCTCCATTAAAGCCCATTGTAATTTCAGGCTGATATTTCCTCACAGCAGCAGCCGCACACCTTTAGTTAAACTGCCAAAAAGGCCACATTATTAACCCGAAAGTACACAAAAATTACACTTCAGATACTCAACTTCCTTGACATGCTTCACGTTTTGAAATTTCACAGATATCTGTTATCGTTCTTCCACAAAACGTTCACATGTAAGAAGTTTATCTGTCATTCAGAACAATGCAAACCTTTGATCTCGACAGAGCTCATTAGCTCAACTATAAACACCTGTGAACACGATGATGTCATCACTCCAACTGACAGCAGTCAGTTCTAACTGTTCATTTCATACTCACACTCTCTCTCTCTCTCTCACACACAATGTTCCAAACGGCCCAAAACTTCACAGGTTTGGTAACGATGCAGCCATCAACACCTCTAAGCGTAGTATGGGGTGTCATCAAATGCCGTTGCCATGGCGACAGACCACTCGCCATGAAACACGATGTCGCTGTAAGTCCAATGGACACGGTCCAATCGTCCCCCAATCTTCACTTGTATATCACCGGTCCATGCCTCAACAGCTCTACGCCAAATCTGAAATCTCACCATATGCCGTTTCCATGGAAACGCATCCCTCGCCATAAAACACGATGTCCCTTTAACTCCTATGAAAATGTTCAAAAAGTGCTCAAAATTCACATGTGTGCTAACAGTCCAGCCGTGAAGACATCTACGAGATAGTTTTGAGATTTCTTCAAATGCCGTTGCCATGGCAACACAATGCTCGCCATGAAACACGGTTTTCTCATAACTTCAGTGAAAATGCTTCAAACGGCCCAAAACTTCACAGGTTTGGTAACGATGCAGCCATCAACGAATCTAACCGTATTATGGGGTGTCATCAAATGCCGTTGCCATGGCGACAGACCACTCGCCATGAAGCACGATGTCGCTGTAAGTCCAATGGACACGGTCCGATCGTCCCCCAAACTTCGCTTGTATATCACCGGTCCAGCCCTCAACAGCTCTACGTCAATTATGGAGTTTCTTCAAATGCCGTTGCCATGGCAACACAATGCTCGCCATGAAACACGGTTTTCTCATAACTTCAGTGAAAATGCTCCAAACGGCCCAAAACTTCACAGGTTTGGTAACGATGCAGCCATCAATGCATCTAACCGTATTATGGGGTGTCATCAAATGCCGTTACCATGGCGACAGATCGTTCACCATCAAGTTAGTTCAAAAGTTTGCAGTTCAAATATTCTGCTGCTTTTCCAAGCCTTTTTACTTTATTTTCTTCTCTCATCACACATTCAAGCCCCCAGTGTTCATGTATCATTTCAATCTAAATTCTTCACTTTCTTCTTACACATTACATTTCAGCATAGCAGTTTAGCGTCAGCTTTTCAGCATAAAGCATTCCCACTAGCAATTTCTTCAGGAATTTCATTCTCTAGTTTGTTAACGTTATCAGTTTAGCAAAATGCTGTTACTCATTCTGATAATGTGTTCAATGTGAAGCTGTTGTTTCCATTCATAACAGTTCAAAGGGGTCTAGATGTTGAGTTCTTCAAATATAAACTTTGTATGTATGATTATTTGATCCAACATTTTTCTATTGTTGACTTTAGTGCAATATAAAGAATCATACGATTCGAATGTTACCCAAGTTGTAGTCTAGTATAAATAGGTATCCCTAGGCAAAATGAAGAGATGTTTCTGCTTTGTCTGATAATAGGATGTCGTTTTTTTTTATTGTATTTGACCTTTGACCTTATGGTCAAATGAAATGATTTTCTTATATATAAGCTCATTCTTGCCATATTATCTGCCCAGAGAACTCTTACTTTATACTCTTTGTTATCCATCCTCCTGTTGCAAATGCAATAGTTCAGGAATGCACTACAGCTGTTTGCTCTGTTCTGCTCTGTCATGGTTTACCTTTATTCAAATAGTGGACTAAGCTACAACTGCATTTCGATGTACTGCCCTGTGTTGCATACTGACAAAACCTTCAGTTCCCTAGACGACTATTGCAACACAGTTTGCTAATAACTATTTTTTGGAAGCATCTGGAAGATTTTATACCTGGATCCATATTTTAATATACATTTACATGATCATTTGTATCATTTGGATTGTCAGTGTTGTTATTTTATTATCTGTACACACGACAATGATTGCATGTCTGTTGCTCTCCCTGAGGCTTCCAACATCTTTCCCCGTTATTCGTGAGGTTTCTTAGGGAGTTTTGTCTCTGGTACTGCAAGGGTCTGTCACATACTGTACACACGTTAAAGCCCCCTGAGAACATGTGTCATTTGTGATACTGAGCTATAGAAATAAAATGTTATTAGTTGTTAAATGAAAGATTAACACACTGCATTTAAGTTTCACAGTTTCAGTCTTTTTTACATAAAAGGATTAGGGCCCCATGTGAATTATTTTTGGAGACTTGACCAAAAGTTATTCTGAATTTAAACTTTTGATAGTTTTTTTTTACTTTTTCTACTTCAGATCTAAAAAAAAAAACTATTCACACCTGGCCCTAATCCTCTTCTGTACAGTTCAGACTTTGTCATGTTTTTATATTTCCCTAAACTTCAGTTTGAACCCCCAGTTTGCAGTCGGTGAGAACACATGCAGTGTCTATCCTCAGCTTGCTGTGTGAATGGAGGGCTTCTCTTTTGTTGTATGTGAGTGAAACACATCATGGTGTAACTGAATGGCGTGGCCTCATGGAGTGTTCGCTGTGATCTCTGTATCAGCAGGCGTCACAGACTCAGACCGCTCTTATGTAACATGCTGACTACAGGGCTTCACACAAAACAGCCTCTCTCTGTCCCTCTCTGCTCACACCACAAACTGCACTCAGAACACACGCTACACCCTTTTACACATATGGACAGTGTGTACAATATATGTAGATGTAAGATATTAAAAGCCCTGTTCGATGTGAAGGCATCCGTTAGCATTTCACATTTGATCACTTCCAAGTATTTGTTGTCGGCCCCTAAGCAGATGGAGCCTTGCTCTGCCTCGCTGTAGCATCATCGAGGTTCATCCATTACATAATGTAACAATGATATAAAGTAGACCGGCTACATGTTTGAGAGTAAAGTAACCCACCGGGTACAGATGAAGATAAGACTGACTCAGATGTCACACGCAGGTTAAATACGATGCTGCAAATTCATTCTGAGCTAATGATTCACAGCTAAATCTATATTTACCATTCCTCCGTCTGTTATGTCATGTGGCTGCTGTGTCTCTGTGAGGGAGGGGGGGTGCTGAAGTATCTGCAAGCTCTGCTGCATCTGATCCACCAGCAGCAACAACAGGAAACCTGGCTCTTCACAATAAAACCCTATCAGCACATATGTAACAGTCTACACTGAAAAATACACACTTAGAATGTTTCATTACAATATTGAATCTGATGAAATAAAAAATATGCTGCTATAATAACTATGAAAAGTTTACTATAACTAAGATATGAAGGAGGCTTTTATGTGTCAGGTGGTCTGCTTTCTGCTCCATTTCATAGCTGGGAGAAAAACTGCTATTATTTTGTCTGATATTGTAATTTGATTCACAACTTTGAAGTGATTGATCCTTTTCGCATCATAATTGTCATCATCATTGCAAACTATTGTATATTAATATGATCACTTGTGATCATTAAGAGGATCTGTACCCAACAAATATGTTTCGTTATGTAGGCCGGGATATCTCTGCTGCTCCACAGTACATTCAAAATGGTATTTGAACACATAGTTAGCAAATATTACCAAACAAATACTGTGCTTTGTGTAATTTGAATATTGCAGGAGTCCATATTGGGATTTATATTTAAAAAAAGTAATTGTTTAGCTCGACTGTGCAGCCCAAACC